TGACACCTACTCACTTTAACCACATTCTTCGCCAGCCGGATGCCGAACTTTACATTGTCGACATCACGGACCTTCTTACCTGCAACTCCATGCATGAGGACGTTGAGTTGGTCGAACTCGATCCACCACCCCCCGAGCCTCCAGATCCTCCTGATTCGTCGACTCCTTCCATTTCCACGTGCTCATCGCACTTTGTCGCGTCCTTTGACAGGGAGACGCCATCCGCACCTATCCCTACGCCGACTCCTTCCACTCCTGCTTCATACGCTGTTGCTGCTAAGGAGTTTGATGACCTCCTAGCGACCTTGCAGCCAAGTGTCGCTACTGTCCTTCGCGAGTATCGCGATGTCTTTCCTTCATCTGTCTCCTATAGTAGCATTCCTCCTATGCGTGACATCGAGCACCTCATCCAGCTCGAACCGAACTACCGTGTCCAGCATCGAGCCCCGTACCGCCTCTCGGTCCCCGAAGCCCAAGAACTTAAACGCCAGATCGACGAGCTGCTTCGTCAGGGCTTCATTAAACCGAGCACGTCACCGTGGAGCGCACCAGTCCTCTTCGATTGAAAGAAGGACGGCGCCCTCCGCCTCTGCCTCGATTACCGCGGCCTCAACCAGTATACGGTCAGAAACAGTTATCCCATGCCCCGCGCAGATGACCTGTTCGACCGCCTCGCTGGCCACCACTTTTTCACGAAGATTGATCTTCGCAGCGGATACCACCAGATCCGCGTGGCCAAGGAGGACCAGCACAAGACTGCGTTTCGCTCTCGATTTGGACACTACGAGTTCACTGTCATGCCTTTCGGCCTCCGTAACAGTCCTGCCGCCTTCCAGATGGCTATGAACACGATGTTCCAGGACCTTCTCGAGGACTTTGTTCTAGTCTACATTGATGACATCCTGATCTACAGTCGTACCTTGGAGGAGCATATGACCCAGCTCCGCACTGTCCTCCAGCGATTACGCGACCACGGATTCTATGCGAAGCTCTTCAAATGCGCCTTCGCTCAATCCAAGGTCGACTTTCTAGGACATGAGGTCTCCGAGCATGGACTCCACATGGACGACTCGAAGATCCAGGCTATCGTCGATTGGCCTACACCTACTTCTCTTCCTGCGCTACGTAGTTTCCTGGGGTTGACTAACTACTACGGTCATTTTCTTAAAAACTACGCGCAGTACTCTTCACAGCTGACTCCTCTGACCCGCGGACGTCTACCCTTCCATTGGACCCCGGCTCATGAGGATGCCTTTCGCTCTCTGAAGCGACTTGTCACGTCAGCCCCTGTCCTACACCTACATGACTACTCCCGCCCATTCATCGTCACCACCGACGCGTCCGACTTTGCCATAGGAGCTGTCCTCTCCCAGATTTACCCAGCCCCTTCTACTTCTCCCGACCCCACAGAGTCTCGTCTCCCTCGCATTCCTCTCTTTCCCCCCCCACCCCCAGCGACTGCGGCTCGACTTGCACCTATCGAGCCCACCCCCTCAGGGGCTCCACCTCCCTACACCCTTGACGTCGCTGATGACGACACAGTCGAGTCTCGCGATGGAGAGTGCCCGGTTGCTTATCTATCTCGACAGCTACTTCCTGCTGAGCGTAACTACACTGCTGACGAGCGTGAGGTCCTCGCGCTGGTTTACGCTGTTAAGAAGTGGCGTCATCACTTACACGGTCACACATTCACCGTCCTGACGGACAACTCTGTCCTCGCCGCTTTCCAGACGAAGCCGAAGCTTACCCCTCGCCAGGCTCGTTGGTGGCGTGATCTCGCAGAGTTCGACTTTACCATCAARAAAATTACTGGGGAAAGCAATCGCGTAGCTGATGCCTTATCTCGCCGCCCCGATCTTCAGTGCGATGATCGCCAACTCTCTGCCATTTCATTCCCCGTCATCCACCCCGCTTTCCTAGATGAGTATCGGTCGGCATACCCCCAGTGCTCCCGAGTTTCAGTCCATCTACGCTGACTAACAGGCCGGCAAGACTGTCCCTAACTTCTAGCTCGACCCCTCTAGACTCCTATATTGGCTTGGTCGCCAAGGTAACCGTACTCCCCGCTTATGTGTCCCATCTATCGGCCAGCTTCGTGTTCGAGCTGTCGCKGAGTGTCACGATCAGCGTGCYGCCGGTCATCTCGGTATCCTCAAGACCCTTGACCGACTCTACCGACATTACTATTGGGAGCACCGCCGTCCTTTCACGACAGAGTACGTTCGCACCTGCAGGACCTGCCAGGAGGCAAGCATTCCCAACCACCCTCCCTACGGTCTTCTTCAGCCCTTACCCATTCCCACCCAGCGTTGGACCTCCGTCTCTATGGACTTCATCGGCCCACTTCGTCCCCCTACCCCACGAGGCCACGATGCTATCTTTGTTGTTGTCTGCCGATTGACTAAGCATGCTCACTTCCTCCCCTGCAAGTATGCTAGTTCAGCCAAAGACATCACCACTCTGTACTTTAACCGTATTGCCATTCATCATGGTCTCCCCACTAGCATTGTCTCTGATCGCGATCCCCGCTTCACTTCTCATTTCTGGCGTGGA